ATTCTCCCTCATATCAATGTCATCGCCATTGCCATCACAGCGCATAGCGCTCTCCCGCATGCTGTAGCATCGTCACGAAAGATCCTCCGTGCGTAGTGCAACATATCTTCTGAATCGGGCTGGGGTCGTTCGCCATTCGGATCTACCCCCCCTTCGCCATCGTCGTAATCTTTTCGTATAGCCACCTGGTTAGCCAAACCGAAGTTTGGCCACGGCTCGAGCCGGTTGGGAATGAGAACCATCACGGAATCTTAATAACCCCCCCCCCCCTTTTCTCAAGGTTTTTTTTTCTCTCTTACTTTCTCTCCTTCCTTATTATATATTATATTTATGTATTAATATGTGACAAGGTCGTGTTTTCTGGTCATCATACTAAGGGGTAGATAGCACTAGACGAAGCGGTTAGTTCGGTGTTTCGACAACCAAGTGTCCGGTTCCAAATGTATCTACGCATGGATGCACTACGAAGTGGACTTGGGTTCGGCTTGCTATCCTCTGATCTTTGCATCGGACGAATCTGGACTCCGGATTGATTCGGTCTGTTCCGTGTTCTCAAGTTTCGGAGAGCAAGTAGATACCAGCACATGCAAGCATCAGGAAGGTTAAAACGCTTGTGTACACTTCCATCGTCGGCTACCCATCGTCCATTCGTTCATTTATCCGTTTTGTCAGTGTAGGTAAAGACAGCGTGTGCTGGTATGCATATCTTGGCTGTCACCACGGGTTCTCTTATTTATCACCAATGCCCTTGTGACTTGTCGCCACGAAGCTGGATGCGATGGAATGAAAGAGGGGTCCACGGCCTTACCACACTTACCATCCCGTGGCACACCACATGAGATCATACATATGTACCTAACTGATTCCCGCCCAGGATCTTCAGAAACCCCCCTCCCCCAACACAGCTAGGAGGAGGACGAAGGAGCCAAAATCTTGCACCCGCTCGCAGACATACTACACATGGGACCGGTCGCCGGAGATGCATACTCCTAGTCCATAGTCTTAGCGCGACATGTTACTGTGCCCTCTGCCGTGCTCTTTTCTTTCTTTTAAAAAAATATTAGTTTTATCGTATAGCCTCTCCGCTTCTCATACCCGGCGCAACACTTTTAACGACCTCCTCATTAGCAAGAATGTGAGAATACGTATGTAGGTATGTACGTGCACTCCGCAGGCCACATACACGTACATAATTCGGCGCGTCTGGGCATCTCAATTGTCCTGGTGCTACAGGACCGGCTGGTCATGGCCCCTGTGGGCTAATTAATCGGCAATCTCAAAAGCCATCTTGGTGATTCCGCCTTTGGGAGCGAAGGCGGAGAGCGAAGATAAGATGTGCGAGGGGGTCGCTAAATTATCAGTCGATAAAGACCCCTATCCTTCACAGAATATCCTCTATATACCCTACCTACCTATATAGCAACGACAACAATAACAGTAGGAAATGAGGATTTCCCCTGGAAGAACAGAAAAGGGGCTCCTGGAAATAGTATGAGGTATGGTATGTCGATATGTACACGCCGACCTACGTGTACTCGACCTGGTATTATCTGCCATTCTCGTGGTTCCGACTTGCAGATAGATAGGTAGGTAGGTAGGTACCTCCCGGTAGGTAGCCTACCTTAGGTACCTCGTAGGTCAGGTACCTTAGGAGGTAGGCAGCCCTGACAGGATCGTGCTGCTGCATGGCCGGCCTCCTCCTAAGGGCCTCGGGCGCTAAACTCCATGGAGGTACCTACGTGTAGCTACTTAAGGTAAGTTGACGAGAATGCAGAGCAGCACGCCTGGCAGGAGACATGTACAAATAAACCTACGTGATGGGTCCCTGTCTGCCTATATGATGCATACATATACCTCTCTGAGCGCGCACCTGTGTTGAGTACCTACATAATGTACGGCATGGGACGCTATGGAAAGGTCAGGGCAGGCAGAGGGGAACGGGGGGGGGGTGGACATGGGTTTACTACCAAAGACCCTCATCCATGTCCGCGAGCATGCGTTTTATCATCCCAGAACCTTGCCCTGCTCTCTTTTTTTTCTTCTCTCCCACCGTCCATCGCAACCCTGGATCCCTGAGGCCCGCCTGGTGGTGCACAATACGTACATGTACATATGTACATATGCGCACGCTGCCCAGGTGATACATTGGCCAGGTTAGGTATATATCGTAGGTGGTTGCCCCTAGGTCTTTGCCCTTTTCGTCATCCCCCCTTCCCAGCCAAGGTTGGGTCGCCCACCGTTAGGCATGCGGTTAGGCATTATATAGGTAGGTACCACGTACCTACATACAGGTAGGAGGTACCTCCCTAGGTATATGCCTAGGCACTTACCTGCTCCAGGTAGATGCACACCTAGGAAGTACCTAACGTACCTCCTCATAAGTGCCTTGCCTGCTTCTAGCTCCCATGCTGGGACATCCCGGCCGCGCCGTCGTTAGTACCTGGAGCGGTTGCGGACGGAAAAGCGTGGCGAGCTAGGTAGTGGCCTCCATAGGGAACGGATACGGGGAGATGGAAGTCGGCCCATTGGAGAGAGACAGAGAGGGATAAGAGGCAGAGTGACAGGGAGAGAAGAGAGAGGGGGCAAGCGGAGGGCGAGAGCGGGTACGTGCCTACCTGCATATACAGCATGTATGTACCTACCTGCATCCATGCATACACCTCTTCAGCTAGCAGTTGCGATGGGCGCTAGGGAGAGGGAAAAGTTGAGGCTTGCCCTTGCCCTGGCCGTAGCCGTGTGTGTATGTGTAGTTTATCTGCGATGTCTCGTACATACATATTCCACCCGTGCGTAGGTATTCACTCCCCTTCCTGACCACTTACTTATCTATTGCTATCCGCAACGCATCACCACTGTCTGTTACCACGTCCAACGTCCAACGTCGCCGCAACCACCAACCGCTGCCGCCGTATATGCCTGCTACAGACTCTCCCGTAGACCGCGTTCCCGCCGTCAGACGCTCAATCACATTCTGACCCGGCTCATGCCAGGTCTCATTGAATAATCTGCTTCGGATTCGGCCAACTGCCGGCTCGTTCGGCTAGCTAACCGGGACGTCTGTCTGTCTGTCTGCCTCCTGCCTATATAACCAGATTCGTCCCTCTCGAGCGCTGCATGTAAGGTTGAGTGTTTTTGCACTGACCTAACTAAGAGCCTCGCCTAGCGGATTCTTCGACATCCCGTGCTGGCGAATCCCGCTCGTATGAACATCTGGAATACCCACGGACGTTGATCAACACGGACCATTTGCAGCGCTGTTCGGAAGTAGGGAACAAGACCGTTGAGGGCACCACCACAACGATCCTCACATTTTACTTTGCGCCATTGTGTATTTTTATATCAACACTAGGCCGTTTCTGCACCACCACGCATGCTTCCTGTCCGCTGGGGCTCTGGGTTATGAAGGCGATCGCCATTCTCGTCTTCCCCTTACGATCTTGCTCAATCTGCAGCGTACATCCCGTTACTCTGACGGCCGTGCTCGAGCCCTCTCCTTTCCTTTTTGCGGCCCTCACCAAGTGCTCCACCATCCCCCCCAAAATCGTTCCATACTCATTCAGGCTCCCGGCTGCTCCAGGGAATAGTGATCAAGCTCGATAATAAACCTCGATGCTATTTGCTTGAATCCACCCGACATTCTGGATAGAGGAGGGGATTTGTTGGTTCACCTGCGGCATTCCTCATCTCGGCACACTCGACTCCTCGACTTGAAACATAAGAGATCAAGCTCTCATTACTAACCTTGTAGCATTTTCACCTGGAGACCTTCGTGCTGCTGCTTTGGGCGGTCCCCCCCCCCCCATCTCTCTTTCTCGCACGCGCGAAGGATCGGGTTGTTTATCCTCTCTCCTGCCTTGTCTATGGGCCTGGTTGTCTTGGACAGTGACGCAGACAAATCAGACCGGCCTCGTCGGGATATTGGGTCGAGATTCCCTTATATCCGCATCTGCCCCGAGAGGATCTGGATCCTCAGTTAAGTAAGCCGGTTTCCCTGCTTGCTCATACAGCCCGGCTAGTGGGCCAGGTTCTGTGCGCCGACAGCGAGCAACGCAAGGGGATTAAACGGCCTTCTTTCGCCTTCCAGAGCCTTGCCCTCTGTACTTCGCCTCAATAATACGCCAAGTCCGCTCACCAGTCGGACCCAATACCCGACTCAACCCTGGGCTGCCCAAAAGGCGAGAATCCCCCTTTGTTGATCGAGGGTTGGATATACATACGCCTTGAGAACCGCGGGCCCAATTCCGAATCTAGGCTCCGGATAGAGCAACTTTCAACTGAAACGTACGGTTTAAGCCCGAGATAACGACGTTGGGTACCTCCCATCCTTGATTACGTCGTCGGTTTTGAGGACTCCGCGCAGCATACCTTCGCTCGGTACGGGCTAGTAGATAATTTAACACCTCGAGGACGTAATTCTCTAATTCTCGTCCACAGTCCTCTCTGCAAGTGAGTCCTTCAAACTCCCTGACACCGGTAGTGTCGTCCTGGAAGATCGACATTGAAATATATGAAAGCATATCCGACATGCCATATGTCTGCTTTTTTTGCTAACCTCTGCTCCTAGGACGATTCCCCGGAGACTCGCATTGGCCTGCTCTTTTCCTCTGCCTTCTATAGGGACGCAGCGGCCCGCCATATCATCGCTCCTCGAAAGCCGGCATACTTATTATAGATTTTGCATTATATTCTCATATTGCTCCTCGCTGAGAAATCTGGGACCTAGTCGTGTTGGGAGACGCATAGATTTCAATCTCGGCGTCGCATTGAATCAGATTCCGCTTACATACCCTTCCGAGCAAGGGTGCCATCCACACTTTGGGGCTGCTCTCGAACGACCCACGCTACCCTTGTCCCATGCCTTAGGAGACATCGGTGCCTGGTCCACAACGCTGGTATTCACTATATTTCCTGGCTCGCACTGTAGAAACTATAAGTAAAGTCTGATTCGCACACTCGCACTACTAGTTACTAGGACCCGGATCTCAGGGTTCAGCAAAGAGATGGAACTGTTGGAACTTGTCGACAATGAGCCGACGGCTCGGCCTTTTCAGTGCGACTGGAAATCGTGCAACAAGGTATGTGTTGCCGCTCGAGGCATCTGCCTGCATTTGGACTTGTACGCGCCCGTATTCGTTGGCAAAGTCACTTACATAGATGCAGAGCTTCAACCGGAAGTCTGACCTCCAACGACACTATCGGATACACACGAATGAGAGGCCCTACTCATGCTCGACGCCCGGTTGTGGGAAAAGCTTCATACAACGAAGTGCCTTGACCGTTCATATTCGGACGCACACTGGCGAGAAGCCTCATCAATGTCAACATCTGGGTTGCGGCAAGCGTTTTTCGGATGTATGTCCATCGACGAACCTAACGACATCGCGTATGAGAGCTAACCCTATTAGTCATCGAGTCTCGCTCGACATCGTCGTATACATACCGGCAAACGACCTTACAAATGCGCCCATGAAGGATGCCTCAAGAGGTAGTAGAAGACCGAGTCGTCCCTGGGGTCATGGCCAACTAACCTCTTAGCAGTTTCTGTCGCAAGACGACGATGGTTAAGCACCAAAGGCGCTCCCACCAGAGAGGGGTTCACCTGTCAGAGGGCGACGACTTTTCTTCCGAATCCGATGGTGGCGAGTCCCCATCCACCCCGAAGCAAGCCGGCCTGTCGTGGCCAGCCAATTACCTGGCCGCTCAACCGGGCTTCCAGGGAAGCGCTGCTCAACGGGCGTCGTCCTTCGCGGATTTTGGCCAACAGGTGAACGACTACAACGTTCAGCAACAGTTCAACAACCATCGGCACAGCATTTCTGCGGGTGACGCCCGTGACTATAATGGGGGGGCGGTTCAGCAACCCCAGCATCCTGGAGTTCACGAAAGCGATGTGGTACAGCAAGCGCAGCATCCCTCCATTCACCTTCTCCAACGAACCGCCAGCATGCCACAGCATTCGTACTATGTGACGGAGCAGAGCAATCCAGGGGTTGCGACCATGAACACCAATCCAATACAACCGTACCACATGCCACGGCAACAACCCGACGGGCTCCCGCGGGAGATCTCGTACGCCACGCCTGGCATGACCGGCTCCATCCAGAACAGCCCCGGCGCATTCTCGGGAACGGGCCCAAGCCGAAGCCCCCCCCTCCAGGACGACTTATATACCCATCAGCCTCCCCCGCCGCCGGGCTTCTCGCTTAGTACGACGTCGCCCATCGTCGAGAACACTATGGTTCCGTACGGCCAACCGATCCATCAACCGATCCACCACCCCCAGTCGGTACAAGCCCCGGTACAAACACAAGTCACCCCCACGCAACAGGTCCTCCACACCCAGCAGCAGTACCAACCTCCGCCGCCACAGCCTGATCCATGGTGCAACGGAGTGTCCTATCAGGCTCCGGTAAATGTGGGCAGTGTCGGTAGTCTATCGTCGCCTTATGTGCACTGCGGGTATATGGACGCCTGGTCGATGAAGCCCGACTTTGATGACCCGACGATGCAGATGCCTAGCGCCAGAATCGATAATCTGTAAATGCCACGACCAGACGACGCACGTGAACCTACGCTTTCATTCCCATGTCGCATACGCCTTTTTGACAGCTCCTCTCGGCACGGGTTGTCTTTAATTTTATCATTAATTTTTCCGCTATGAGCCTCCGACTAGCTCTTGTACTCTATTTCTTTTGTTTCCACGTCGAACAGGATATACCACGGGCGGACTTACAGGGCCAGATTATGTGTTGATCGAGATTGGGTGGGTTGCCTATTGTGGCCTTCAGGTGACACCACTGAAGGAGCACTGCTTTATTTCTTGCTGTCTATTGTGTTTAATACCGGAGGTTTCGCATTTGCATGGCTTCGCATCGTTTTGGGCTAAGTTTCCGATATCATGTGCCGGGAGATTCGTGCTGCACAGCGGTTATTCGACAACTTCTCGGACGCTCGATCTGGACTCCGACAGATATGGACTGGAGAGCGTTTCGGCAAGAAAATCTCATCTCGTCGCCCTGCCTTATTCCTTTCATCACGCGCAACGGCCGAATTTCAGATACCACGTCACGTCACGACGCTCTATCCCCTCATAGTCGCATCAGGCATCACCAATCCCATTTCCTCAATCCCTTATGTATAATGAGCGACCATGTCATAATTTCCCCTGTTATCTATACCTGACAAATATTGGCGGTAGTCGGGTTGCTTGGAGAATACCGACAACGTCGGCCGATTGTTCCCTCGGCGGGATCTGGCGCATCCGCCCTCAACACATACGTCGACTGCTCGAGTGATCAACGCCATATACCGCCTTGCAAAACGGCAAGCGAGGAAGGAAAAAGAGAGACCAGAGAACCGACCTGGAGAAGGAGAGGGAAGTGCGCTTTATCACATCAACAAATTGTTCTTTTTCGGGCGAGTTCATCTTCGTTGCTATTAAAGCGGTCACCCGGAAAGAGGTTGCCTGTGACGACATCTCGATAAGCTTCTGACGACTCGATACGATGTGGTCGCCCCCTCGGCCGTCTATCTCAGCAAGCTCGTCTGGGTAGGGGAGGGACGCGCCCGGAACGAGCAGAGGCAGAGGAAGGGGAGGGCGGTGATAAGAAAGGACGGGTGGAGAGTATGCTGTAAATGCTTGGTGGCGTACGCGCTTTCAACTGTGTATTAATGGAATCCGGAATAAACTGGACTGGGTGCGCTTTTATATATACCCCTGACTCTGCGAGGCCTCGTCAAGCATCGAGGGCGTCTTTTTTTTTGCCCTTGTCAATGTCCATTTATCATCTTGGTGGGTGTCCCTGGGAATACTTACCACATGTACGATAACAACTACCTAGGTAGGTGGTTGTCCCGGAATTTAAGCTCTTAGTTCCAGGATACGTCTATCAGTTGCGCCTTTTTCCTGCCGTCTACGCAAGAGCTAAGACAAAGCAGGCCTATCCACGTGGTCATATTTATCCGTCACACTTGTGCCGAGATGCGTCCGGCATCCCCTAGGCTAGATAGCTAGCTGCAGGTCTCTCGCGTCGTTTCCAGCGCCAGTCCATTGAACGAGGGGTCAAGTCGAGTCGAATTGCTTGACACGCAAGAAGGGCGCAAGCTCGGCTAATGTGACGTATTTACGGCTTCTGCATCGCCCCATGGTGAGTGATGCCGTATTTACGCGATAAGTACGAGCTTAGGTAAGTGTGGAGTGTCATTTGGGAGGGGTTATCACTAGGTACTCACCAGCCGATAACCCCTATGGCCGTTCATCCAGTCGCGGAAGTAATATCTAGGTAGATATGGCGACTTCGCTAAAATCGAGAGACCCAATAAATACGTGATTCACGGGTCCAGCCACCTAGGCACTTAGTAATGTCACCCCCCTCGTGATGCTGCCAATACTACTCATGCGCTTTCCGCCTACCTTCGGGTGAAAGAACGTCGAAAGGGGGGAGGCGGGGAGGGTGGAGAAAACGTAGAGGAGTACATAAGAAGCGCTGCCCATCTCTGACGAGCCCTTGAGATTTCCGGTAATCCCATCTGGTGGCAATCCTGGCTTTATCCTCGTTTGATCAATAGTTGTTCCAGTGCTGCTGTGTCCGAATAATTAAGATGCCTAAAGTACTCCTTACAGGTCGGTAGTCGCTTACTCCATCCCGCGCAAGGCTACGAGCATGCCGCGATAGCAATTCGGATGGGAGATGACGACTCGCTAACGTCTGTCGGTGCGATAGGTGGATCGGGCTTCATCGCCGGTAAGTAACTCAATTGCCTTTTTTTTTTTTTCCCAGAAAAGAGAGAGAGGGCGGGTAAGCGCGGGCAAGGGAGGATGAATAATAGCGTGGTGTTTCCCTATTCTATGTCTCATATCTTGTGTTAGTTTAAGGGTTCGCGTAAGCTGATTAGCCAATATGATAACAACAACAAACACAGCCCACGTTCTCGAGATCCTTCTTCAGAAGGGATACGAAGTCGTGACAACGGTACGGTCAGAGGCCAAGGCCTCGCAGATCACGGCCAAGCATCCGGGTGCGAAACTGTCCGTAGTCGTCGTGCCGGACCTCGCGGCACCGGGAGCTTTCGACGAGGTGGCGAAGACGCCCGGGCTCGACTACGTGCAGCACACGGCGTCGCCCTTCCACTTCCGCTGGACGGACGCGCGCACCGAACTGCTCGACCCTGCCATTAACGGCACCAACTCGGTGTTGAAAGCCATCGCGACCTACGCGCCCGGGGTCAAGCGCGTCGTCGTCACTTCATCCTTCGCCGCCATCATATCCGAGGCCGAGCTGTCCAACCCTTCCAAGACGTTCTCCGAGGCGGACTGGAACCCGAGCACCTACGAAGACGGCCTGCGGGGCCCGCCGCCGACTTCGTATAGGGTATCCAAGAAGTATGCCGAGAAGGCCGCGTGGGACTTTGTGGCCGAGCAGAAACCGGGCTTCGACGTGGCTACCATCTGCCCGCCCTTGGTCTTCGGCCCGCTCGCCCACCACCTCGACTCGCTGGCCGACATCAACACGAGCAACTCCCGCTTCGTGGACCTGATCCAGGGCAAGTGGAAGTCCGAAATCCCGCCGGGCGGCGTGTTTCTGTGGGTGGACGTGCGCGACGTAGCGCTCGCGCACGTCAACGCCATGGAGCGCCCCGAGGCCGGCGGCCAGCGCTTCTTCACGACCGCGGGCTACTACAGCAACCGGGAGATCGCGCGCGCGGTCCGCGAAGCGTTCCCCGACCTCGCCGACAAGCTTCCCACCGAGGACGTACCGGGCGGCGACTACCCCCCGGAGGGCACGTACAAATATGACAACTCGCGTGCTACCAAGGTCCTCGGCATCGATTGGATCCCCATCGCATCAAGCGCTGTCGATACGGTCAAGAGCTTGCGGCAAATTCCTGCCTAGAGGGTTGGATAAGAGAAAAGGAGGAGGGGGGCGGGTCAAGAAACTCTACGAGATGACATGAGTGTAGGCTATGTTAAAAAAAGAAGTATTGGTTGTTGAAATTAACACCGCGCATCATTATCATCTTGTCTGAATGCTAGCCGAGGCTCTATCACCAACACATGCCGGGTATCTTGATGAGCCTTCTAGCGCCAATGACGATGAGTTCCGCCCGGGATCCTGCTTGCTTGTGAGCATCGCGGACATGTAATCAACTGCTTTTCATAATATGCAACTAGTCGGGCATCCGTAAGAGGAACGTGTAATTATATATGCGTTTCTCTGCCCTGAAATACCGGGAGACTAGCGACGCGTATTTTCTACCTAAAGATCCTGCGGCATTTGTCGATTCTCGATCAAAGCTTGGGAGTTTTAGACACATTGTGTAGACGGGGGTGGTAGGGTGGTTGCAAGTGACGTCGGTACACTTGGCAGAAATGCGAGTGCGTTTCCTGTGCTCATCCACGTATGCCCTTCCTGCTGCCGGTGACCCATCTCATTGCGCAATTTCTATGTGACGTTACGGGGGCCTGTCCTTCCCGCGATCCCCTTAATCAGCTGAAGTATCCATCGCGTCTCCTCCTCCCGAGGCCTTTGCCTTCGCCTCTGCAATCCGCCCAGCCTTCCACTCCGCAATTCGGGCGCGTAGATCGTCAGCCGGGATAACATCATCAATAGTCATCGGCTTTCGCGTGAAAGGGTCAAGCGGATTAGATAGTAATTGCTGAACAATCGTCGAACGATCTACTATGTTGTGCGATGGGAGGATGACAGGGTCATTCATTAATTCGCCCATTAGTGGATCCTCGAACTCGTCTGGTACTTGGCCCAAGTCGAGTGCGGCCTGATCCAGACGTTCCTTAGCCTCAGCAAACTTTGTCTTCAGCGACTCCCAGGCGGAAACTACTTCTGGAGCCTTGTGAAGACTGGTTTGGAGCAATCTAGATGCCGTCTCGAAATTTTCCGGCTTGTAGGAACGTCCGTCTGACGCGACGGCTTCGATAAAGGTGGTCTTTGGGGCAAGGTTTAAGTAGATGTCGATGAAATCTGATAGGAGCGTCTTGGGGTCAAAGTGATATTTCTTGGCGTCCTCGACCTTCAGGTTGCCGCGTTTTGGGCCAACTAGTGACTCTAGATTGTAATTCAGCATACCGGCCAACCTTGTGACTATCTCGGGCATGGTGAACGCATCGCGTAGAGCGGCCGTGAACAGCTTCATCATGCCCATGGTGTCGTTCACCAACTGCATCCAGGATTGGCATTGCTGTTCCGCCGCTTCCAAGTCTGTCCTGATCTTCTCTTTCGCGTCAGCAGTTAGCGTTACATCGTGTAGCTGTTTCTGATAGTCATGAATCTTGGCCAACTTGGTTAACGCCTCGTCAAGCAAGTAGGTTGCGTCATTAAGGAGTAGGTTGACGAATTGCACGAAGAATTCCCGATTGATCCTGAGGGCTATTAGATACGAGCTACGTCGGGTTTACTGGGGTAAGCCAACGACTCACTTGCTTTCCTGGCTGAGCTGCTCCTTGTAGACACTGTTAGGCCAGATGCACTTGATGACTTGGAAGATTTCGTAGCGGATGTTAAACTTGTCGTAAAATGCGGAGCTAACGCCACTATGCTCGCATTCTGTTATGGTAAGTGCACGGAAACAGGGACAGGGACGTGCCAACTAACCAATATAGAACTTCATCAGGGAATGTAGTAGATATTCATTGGCGAAAGGTGACCCTACAAGCGTGTCGCCCAAGACCCCTCTGCTGAGATGATATAACGGCCATGTCCCGGAGAAAAGTAAGGTTACCAGGGACGACTTTAGGTAGGGATTTTTGATGTAGTCAGAAGAACGCAAGAACGTGATGCATAGCATGATGATCTCGTCCCCAACAGCGGACATCAAAATCTGGGGTAGAAAGCTTATAGAAGCGTAAGCGATGAGCTGACACGAGCGGGCCACGATTCAGACCTACCGGAAAACGAACTTGAAGTTCTCCACGACGTCTTGAAGGGCATATTCCGGAAGGCAGCTAAAGGCCTCTGGTCTAATAGGTGGGAGTGGAAGCTTGAAATCCTTGCCTGGCTTATAGTCCGTGCCACTAGCGACTCGAAGAAGCCAGACGGCAACGTATCTCATAAACTGTAGTGACAATGTCTGCATGGATGAATCTAACACAACTCCTTCTATGGCGAGCTTGAGTGCTATTGATTTCTCGAGCCCGTTGACTGCGTTCTGAAGTTGCTGCTTCGCTACATGAAGGCGTAATTGGTTCTGGCATTACCATATTGTGAGCAATGAGGATAATAATCTAGACTTGGACTATTCGGGCAAGAGGAACACTTACACCCTCCAATTTAGGCAGTTCGTCTTCGATAAGCTTAATGACTCTCTCGATATGCTTGATGTCTTTGTCCAGATCCTTCAGTTTTGAGTTGGTTGCCCCGAGACCGTAATGATGGGAAGCTAGGGCTAGGAAGAAAACTTCTGAAATAAAATTGGACGACCCTGAGACACGCGACTGATAAAACGTCTCCGAGGTCGCCTGGTCGGCGTTCAGTTTGGTTTCATCGCTCATATCGACCCGGGGTTCGCGACGTAGATAGTCGATATCTATTTTATCGACCTTGGAGAAAGTCGCATCCATAAAGGGTTGGCATAGCTGATCCAAAGTAGCCGTTACGTTGACCATGAACCCGTCAGAAGCCACTTCCGCAGCCTTGACCTGTAAGGCACGTCTTTTGTGGTTAGTATTCACGACAAAGGCAAACCAATCGAGAGTGCTATTCCGAGAAGCAGGACTTGCTCGAACGAATGCGTTGGTGATGCTTGTAAGGTCCCCCTGATGCGCTTTCAGTGTCATCTGCAGTGCGCTCTGGGAAGACTTGACATGGCCCGGGTCGATGGTCCGCGGGCTAGCGAAGTACGATTTCGTAACCTCTGTCTGTAGTGGTGAGATGCGGAAAAATGGCCCCAAGAGTGTCTCAGTTTCGCTCGCTACGGCTATTTGTTCCTTGGTCATATCCGCTGTGGGGTTGACGTGGAAACGTGGGTGTCGTGCGAGGGCATTGAGTAACGGAGGGAACCGAGCATATGTTACGAGGGACTAAATACCGTTAGCGGACGTATGTGCTCCGAAAAGGCTGAGCATGCCTTACGTTGATGTAGGGTTTATAATCATCATTCATGGTCATCCCAGCGACTCTCTCGCTCATAATGATCATGGCATCTGTGAATATACCAGCAACGCCATCATCCTCTGGTATGCGGGAGACAGCTTCGGTGAAGAAATCTAAGCAGATACCATCTTCGTTTTCGTGGTGCCGGAGAAGATACGGCACAAGAGAATCGTGATTCGGATTAGAGTCTCGGCTTCTAGTTGTCAGCGCGCCTCAGAACACTTTCGACGCATGGGCCCATGGGCGCATGAGAGAAGCTGCTCACCCAAAGTACTCCGGCATGGTAAGCGCAAATATACAATTACTCATGCATAGACGCTTGGCTTCGTCTAGGACTTCTTGTCTTTCGAGAGGCAGGGGTCTAGAAGGCTTGGTAGCCTTCATCACACGCTTCCAACATGGCAATAGATAATCTAGCAGAGCCTTGCTTAGCGGTACGCACCGGGCGGCTTCGAGGATGGCCGTGTCAATTGATGAAGTGGTAAGCTTGACCGGATCGCCAGACTCCTCAAGCTCGGCTCGGAGGTCTGGGAGATACGTGAGCCGGATGCCACGGCTGTCGGTTGTGTTGGTCTCGTCTAGCGTGACACGGAATATGTCACTCAGGACCCGGTTAGACCAATCATCAAGAGTCTCCTCCTTCGTAACTTGCGCCCTTTTTGTTGGCGGAGCTGTTGCTTTGATTCGGTCAACAGGCGTTCCGGGCCTTTTGGAGGAAGCTCTGTTACCTGAACTCGTAGCTGCCTCATTCCCAGGGTCTGACTTGTTCGTTGTGAGCTGCGAGAATGGATTTGTTGGTGGGGCTTGACGAGGCGGCTGAGGCGAAGGTATTGTATTCGTTTGCTGATTTGGAGAAGTAGCTGGTCGGGCGATCGCCTGGCTGGACAGACCAGGCGTAGGTGTTGGGGATTCGGGCTTTGCCGCATCGCTAGGCTTCGAATTTGTCGGTGCAGCATTTGCCCCGGCTAGTTTTGCGAGGCGTCGTTGGCGCATCTGTTCAACAAAGCAAGTCAGCTCTCGAGATAAGCACCTAATGTCCACCTTGATTACAGACCTGCTCCTGCGACGGTAGTGTTGGCTCTGGTGGCTCATTTGGATCCATAACGAATGATCAACTAGGAGGGAGAGAGGAACAGCTAAATCAGATAACAGGGACCAAGTCAAAAGCTGCCATCTAGTGACAGGTGTAGATGGGAGGAGGTGGAGGGGGAGTGAGATCAACGCAAGTCTGTGAAGTAATCGGAACTGGGACAAGTCGGAGGATGGACAATCATAGAATGAATGCCTGCCTGCTTAGAATTCGATAAGCAGCCTAGTGGGTAGGATTACTCAATCAACTATCTTATCGATAAGTAACAGCGGTTTGGTAGGGAGGTACTTCTACGTTGAAGACTTTTAATAGAAACCCTTAATATAATAATAATTATATATATAATCCTTGTAATTATAAATAATTTATATTATATATTAAAAATTTATCCTATCCGGAGGATAGTTATAATACGTATAACCCCCTGTTATGCTAATTAATTACGGGGTTAAATACCCCTATAAATACCCCTATAAATACCCCTATAAAGGGGTGTCTTTTAGGGGAAACTTTGTTTTTATTGGCTAAAAAACGCGCTATGGGTCCCTAAAAATACGTATACCTAATAAAAACGGCGGAATAAATGGAGTTTTTTTTATTTAGCATATCCTTATTATCCCCTAAAATTCCTACGTATATTTACTAACGCGTTTATTTATACGTTTCTATTTTTATTTATATAATTCTTACTCTTTTTCGTATCTTATAATTTATCCTTATAATTTATCCTTAGTTTAATTAAGATAGAATCGCTTTAAGTTAAAGAATGTCGTATATACGAAAGAATTTAAGTTATCGAGTAATTTATTAATCCACGAAATTACGCTATATTTATAAAAAATTATTTCTCTTACCGCGAAAACATACGCCGTCTTACTTAGGTTAATATTCTTTATTAATAGTTTATACTTTACCGTTAATTTTATATAGGATTCCCGATCCTATCCTACGCTTAAAACGCTTTAACCGGCTCCGCGATTAAATGTTACTTATTATCGATTATATTTTATTACCGCGTAGCCTCGGGTATATAATTTAAGCGCTAAAGAGGTAGCTTTACGCGTAGGTAACGTATTACGATAGTAAATTCGAAAACGGTATAAGGTAACCCGACGTAATAACGGTAACCCTTCTCTTATTCCTTTACTTTCTTCGTTAATAATATAATTATAACTAGCGGATTTAGCGGTAGCGCTAAAACTAGCGTCCCGAGGGCGACCTTTTCGAGTATTTACGCGAGAGTTAGTTCGTCGAGGCCGACCTTTACGTACGCTTACGTTAGAATAAGCGCGAGAGTTAGTTCGTCGAAGCCGACCTTTACGCGCGTTTACGTTAGAACTAGCGCTAGAGTAAGTATAAGTACGTCGAGGCCGACCTTTACGGCTTCTTACGTTAGAATTCCTTACGCTAAAATTAACGCGAGAATAACCGCGCTTAGGCCGACCTTTTAATTAGACCTCCCCCTTAAATACCGCTCGCTCTTAGGAACTTAGTAGCGTTTTTAATCGTTAAAGCTCGTTTATAATTAAGCCGCTACGGTAGAAAAGAGACCTTAACGTTAACGCGATTAGCGATACCGATTACGCGATTTTAATACGGTTTTAATTAGCGTTAGAATAAGAACGACGTAAATACTATAGTCGTTACGGAAAGTATTAGTTTAATATAGATTTAAATACCGCGGATATTTATAAGCGTTATCGTAATAAAAACTAAAAGAAGCGCGTAAATAAGCCCTTCTTTTTTAACGTAGGTAATTATCTTAACTTTAATATCCTTCCTTCTTTTAATTTACTACTAAAGTTAATAATAATCGAAGAATTATTTATTACGTAGGTTTACGTAGTAATAAATATACTTATAATCCGCGGCTAGTAGTATAAATATCGCGGCTACGTCGTATACTTTATACGTAACGTTAATAAAGTATACGACTATCTTTCCCTTTTCCCTTAGTATTTTAATATCGTTTTATTACGCTTACGCGAGCTAGCGTAAAATCCTAAGTAGATAACTTAATTTCGAACTAAGTTTAAAATACGCCGGCGCGTTATCGAGGTATGGCTTAAGTATTTAAGATATAACTACCCGGGTTATAAAGACTTTAAATAAAATCGCGCCGCGTTAGAAGAGCTACCTAACGACGGTAATGTTTTTAAGTAGCTTAATATTTAAGACTTCGTCGATAACGGTTAAGCGTTTTAGACTAGCCTAGTTACGGAAGGCGACTTAGAAGGGTTAGAAGCTTAATACGATAAATTTATTATATTAAACGTTACGTTAAAGTAAACTAAGATAAAGCGTTTAGAGTTAAAATTAAAAGGGACGTTTATTTCTAAAGGTTATCCCGTTAAACTTATAGGTACCTATTATTTATCCATGCCTTTTATTCGCTAGATCTTTATTAACGAGTTTATGCGTTTAACTACGTTATTTTTACTAGCGTTTCCTATTTTATTTCCGCGTAAAGAAGCTAAATTTATATATCTAAGGTAGCGTAAGATCGATTTCGACGATTAGGTATAGTACGCTATACGTTAGCGCGATAATCGATTCGCGTAATACCTTACTTTCCGTTTTATCGCGCTTAATATACTTATGCGTTAATAAGCGATAGTAATAAGTAAATATTTCGTAAGGAAAAAAGGCGCCTAGTAGTAATAAATTACGCGATAAAATCTCGAGTAAGCGTTAAAAAACCTTAAGAGTACCGAGGTTAATGCGTTATTAAGGAATATTACGCGCGTTATAGTTTATTTAAAGGGTACGCGGCTTTTTTAGTTTAAACGAAAACGCGAGTACGTTACTTTTACTAAGTACCTCGGGGTTCCTAGCGCTTTTCTTACCTTAAGCCTTATTAATTTTTATTAGCGGAGCCTTTTTTAATATATATTACGCTTTTAGGAATAGCTTTCCTCCCTTAAAATCTAACGCATACGCTTATCCCGCGAGTTATTAAAAACTAATCCCTATATTACCGCGTAGTATTTTTACGCTCGGAATTAGCTTTTCCGTAATATCGTTTTAGTTAAGAAGTTCGGCTTACGCGATTATTAATATCGATACGAATTTTAAAGGCGCGGGAATACGTATTATTACGGGTTATTTTAATTCGAAGGTAATCCGTTACTTAATATAATCTCTTTCGAATAACGCTAAAACTACGTTCGTATTTAGAGCTATTACGCCTTTACGGTTAACCTAGAGCCGCGCCGGCGCTTAGATTAAGATAAAGATAATCCGCTCGTATTACGGCCTTTAAACGCGCGGCCGTCGTTTTGTTAGCTCTCTTAGATTATTAATCGTTACTAACGCTATAAATATTCCCCCGTATATTACTTCCGTATTAATAAGCGTAAAGCGCGAGAAGCGGGATAAGGTAATAGCGTTTTACTACCTCTAGAATACCGATTTCTTTTCCCGCGGCCGTACCGCGCCTACGCCGAGATTATTATACGGCCGTATAAAACCTAATAGTTATTTAAAGCGTAACGTAACGACGAATAATTAAATTAATATAATCGAGTAATTACCTTTATTTAGCTAGCTAATATCGATATTTCGCTTTATATTAACGTAGAAGCTATTATAAATTACGTAGCGAAGTATTACTCTAAAGCGGAAATTAAGACCGATAGTTATAGCGTCCTTATTAAGTAAATCCTCCTAAAGGTCTCTAGCGTAAATCCTCTTCTTTCTTTTATATCGAAGTTAATAAATAAATTAATCGGGGAACGAGATTACTCTACGTAAGAGGTTTATTATATATTATATAGGCTACCTTTATAAGCTAATTCGCGTGTTATACGTAACGTAAATTACCGGCCCTTAGCGGAATAAAACTATAGCCTCGAGCTTAGCTTTAGCGACGTTTCTAACGGGCGTAATACTTATAAGAAGTATCTCTAGCGCGATTTAAAGGTACTAAAGATTATTAAATTAAACTTCTTTCGCTTTATATCGATCTAGAATTTTAATAAGCCATACGCTCGCGATTAACGTCCTTTTTAACGTAACGTAGAAGAACGTATACTTAATTATTACCTTATTTACCGCGTAAATAAGGGCCTTAGCGAATTAAAATCGTTTTATCGCGTTAAGCTTATGTTAAATTATCCGTATATTAACGAAGACGAGCTACTTTTAATTAACGGTACCTAATTTTTAACGCATATATTAACGTATACGCGATATTAAGTAACCTATTAATACGAGGATAACTACTACGGCGACCTTCCCGGACCCGACGAAGAGGAGTTCGAGCTCCTAAAGGAAAAAGAGTAGGCTTTAAACGAGGAAGACTAGGCTAAACTAACGCGTTTACTCCCGAATTAAGCGCTTACGTAGGAAATATTTAACGTACTTAGGAATAGAAATATCGATATAAATTACGATTAGGTTATATACGTAGCCCGATATAAGTATCCTTACTTTTACGATTCTACTTATTAACGCGAGATAATAAGTACTACGGATACGCCGGAGTAAGAAATCGTTCCTTTAAATACCCGTAATACGTTAAATCCGGAACAAAGGCTAATTTACGGTACCGTTCTCGGCTACGTATAAAGTCGTAGCTAAGACTAGCTTCTATTTTAAATCGACGGTAATAGCGGTACTAAAAAATCGTATCTAATTAAGATTTTAGCCTCCTACGTTCGCTAGGCTTTTACTTAAGACTCGGTAGCCCTTATTATCCTAATTAACGCTACGAGTAATAACATTCGCGGGAGGACGATATATTCTTTCCTTTATTTACCCGTAAAGCGTAGCTTTAAGCCGTTCTTTAATAACGCTTTCGCTAAAGTATAACGACGCCTTACTAACCTTCGCTATCTAATTATCGACGAAAAGAATATATTAAGGCTACGTATATTTAGGTTTATTAACCGCCGTTTACGGTAGATATTCCCGCGTAGCTCGCGGATTTTTAATAACGTAAATATAATCTTAATCGGCGACTTCTTTTAATTACCCCTAGTATTATTAAAGCTTATTTATACTCTTAATTCGACGTATCTTTCGGTAGACGAGTTCGTCGGTTATAATACGTATAGAGCTTTTTTTAAGTCGGTATTTCTATCGGTAGTTTAACGCTAAGTAAGCGAGGACTAGGCGCCTTTTCGAAAAGCGCTAAACGAATTACGCTTAGCGTAAGTTTCCGCCGAGTCGTTCTAGCTCCT